TGCCTTTAAAGAATGTCTTAATTCGTGCTTTCAAATATTTAATGTCATGTGTGGTCATAGCACAATGTATGTCACGGTAGTAAAGTTTGGAGAAGATATACGTATTAAATCCAAGGGCACGTAAATGTATGGGGGCCTCTATTAACTCCGTATGCCACAAACCTTTGAGAATTGAATCAGTGAACGGTTTCCATGAAAATCCTTGCATATCAACTCCCAAGTAACGAAGGTCATCAACACCAATAGTTTTGTGGGGGAATGGTAGTTTAATAAGATCTGACGAAAGACTATGATCCATCGTTTTATCAACATTAAGTCGCGCATTTGATATCTTTTCATAGTCACAAAGTAAGTTCCAGAATATGCCCACATCATCTGTCGTGTCATTAATGAAAACCGTAAGGTCATCAGCGTAAGATAATAATTGAACATTCTTAAATACGGGTAGGAAAGATAAAGGAATCAGGAACCGTTGCAAGAAGGGTCATTATCTCTGTCCAGCGGACAGAATCCAGTCAACGGGTCTCACACTGTGACAGTTGATGGCGGGTCTGAAGCACAAACGTCAGCCAACAACCAAAAATCGTCCATTTCTTCGAATGACGACGACATTCTTATGCTATGTGAAGAAGAAGAAGAAGATGATGATTCAAACATGATTCCACCACCAGTCGACTATTCTAAACTTTTAAAAAATTAGGCACCCCCGGTTCCAAGTGCAGCTACGACTAGGGAAAGATCCCGCCTTAACAAAGCCTCAGTGCCAGAGCACATTTCCAAGCTCGTCACTGAAAATAATGATATGGTTTTACCCAACGACATTCTCTTAGCCAATGTCGACCACCAATTACTAAATCCCAGTATCCTCCAAGCTGTCCAAACTACTTTTCAATTCGAATTCGAAAACAATCGCGATACCTTTGCAAAATGGGCTCTCTGAAGAGCTCAAAGGTTTTCTTACCAAAATATCTTCCAAATCCGGAAAACAAATAATTCCAAAAAGTATCAAAGGTGAATATGAAGAATACCTTAAATTCCAAAGGTTCTCTACCTTCTTGAAATTCTCCTTAAGACCCACTGGTTCGCCAGATGGGCATGTGGTCCTTCGCCCTTTCCTTCCTCAGGTAATCCAGGACATCCATTTTGAAAACTATAAAAGAGAATTCCAAGAATATTTAGAAGGCTTAAACTTCGCATTCAATGACAATTCAACATTCTCTCTTAAATTCCAATCAGAGATTAAACAATTCCACATCATCTCTTTGAGGTTACCCAGAGGTAAAGTAAGTCAGGCCAACTATGTTATTGATGCTTTCCTTAATGAGGGTGACGAAATAATTCATAAAGACGTTCCGTCAGATGAATCAATAGACTCTAGAGTTGACGTCACAGGGTCTTTGTAGGCTTACTTCGCTATCACTCTAGGCGGTGAATACTCTCCAAGGAACAGGATCCCAAAGCCTTCAAACGCTACCGTCAACGGCTAGGCGGACTTCTCTGTGAGAGTTCTTTCTAATCTACCCCATTGTGTTTATTGCCGCAGCACGAAACACACCAGAGATCAACACAGGGATATAAAGCCTGTGTGATCTATGGTGATAAAAGTCACAACCTGCATAACTGCATGTCGAAGCCGAAGCATTTTCGTAAAGTCACCTGGAAATTTCTTCAGCTGTTGAATCTTCTAAGGAAACAGCAGCCCATGAATCGGTCGAAGAACCACC